GTTTTAGTAAGTGCAAAGATGTGGCAGGCTTATGATGAAATATCTTATCCAAGCCCAAAAAATCTTGCCATCGGCCAAATTGAAACTATATTATGTATATTTTTAATTGCTGTGATTTAACAGCTAGCGAAGCTAGCGCTGACTTTCTCTTGATCTTCTAGTCGTTCAGAAATCATGCAGTTATTCATTGGGTTCCTGAAAAGGGGACTAGTTGGCCTTCAAAATGTCAGCGAATGTTAAATCCTCATATACCTAGGGGCTGAGTTTTGCAGTTGGCAGCACTGGAGCTATCTTGTGGTATTTGCTCCACCACCAGGCTTTTGTATTTTTAGAAGCTTGTGCCTTCATTCTCTTTTTAATCGCTCATTTTTTTTTCTTTTTTGGTATTGTACCTTTACCGAATACTACCTCGATTGCTGAGAGCTGGACTGCAGAGCTCTGCTGAGAACTTTGTAACTTTTTGTTATGTTTTAGGATATACCAAAAAATGAAAGCCGTTTACAACTCTCTGTAACGCCGGATTAGAGCGCAGCTCGTGAGGAGGAGGATGGAAGGGTACTGAGGGATAGGATGGAAGGGTACCGAGGGATAGTCCTGAGGTCACGTGACCTCAGGGTGTAACCCTCATGACCCTCGTGACCCTCGTGAGGGTAACGCTCGTGACGGTAACCCTCGTGACCCTTGTGAGGGTAACTATCGTGACCCTCGTAGGGGTAACCCTCGTGAGGGTAACCCTAGTAACCCTTGTTAGGGAAACTCTCGTGACTCTCGTGAGGGTAACTCTCATAACCCTCGTAAGGGTAACTCGCGTGACCCTCGTGAAAGTAACCCTTTTGAGGGTAACTAACCCTTGTAACCCTCGTGAGGGTTATGAGGGTTACCAGGGTTACTCTCACGAGGGTTACGAGGGTAACCCTCATGATTTTTGTGAGGGTTACTCGCGTGACCCCCCCTAGACGTGGTTACGCCGACGCTGACGCTGACGCCACTCAAGCCGGAAATGGGCGCCTAAGAGCTGCACTCTAAAAGGACTGCATAAATAAGGATCAACCTGCACAGGTGTTAAAAAAATAACACTGTTCTGTACACAACAGTTCTAGTGTAACCATGGGATGGGACATGAGAAGTTACAAAAAAATGAACTGGGGAAATGAAAATGAGAATGTTACAGGATGCACTAAGAGCTAATAGACTGAGAAAGCATTAGCATATCCCAGCATATCTGGCTGCTCACTCATGAACCAGGTAAAAAGTCACAAGATCAGCGCACAAGTGACAAATTTCATGAATACAACTAGTAGTCTGTAATTCTTTTATAAAAGATATAGGTCGGCAAAAAAATTGACATAAGCGGTAATTTGATGAAGGCAGCAGGGTCAGAGAAACCATGACAGTATCCTTGGAAATGCAAGGGAACACTGTAGAAGCCTTAAAAAACAAATATTCTGTCAGACATGCTTGGTGATGCAGAACTTGGCAACATTTTTACTAAGCTCTAAAACAGAGAAGTGAGTAGATATAGCAAGCATTAGACCCTGGCCGCTTCGCCGCGTCGGTAAAGAAAAGGAGGCAGACACTGGGGCGGTCTTTCGCGCATGCTTTTGGCAAGTCTGCCTTCATAATTAGCGTGGTTGGACAGCGGTGCACTTAGAATGACCTGGTTCAAAGTGCATACATTTCGGTCAGTGCCGCATTAAACTTAGAATGAAGTGCTAATTCAAAATAAAGCAATTTTATTATAACGGTAGTCTACTCCACTTGGAAAACTCGTGGCAGCTTACCTTAGTGCTACCGAACTGAACCATCCCAATGTCTCGTTTGTTTTTTACTTGTCCTTCCTTTACGAAAGTTCACCTTTATTGGCTGCTCTGCCCACTGTCCGAGCACAGAATTGGCAGCTAGAATTGTGTACAGGTTAGTCTCTACTTTTCCTCTGCAAACCTCTCTTTTCCCTTTCACTATTCCAAAGTGGAACTGCAGTCCAGCACTTGGTCACCCAGATGTGCGTGTTATGCAATCTTTCTACGAGTTCTCTTTTATTGGTTGTCACAGGCGAGAGGCAGAATATTTTTTGCTTGGCCTCTTCTGCTGGTGCACTGTCTTTAGTGATGCATGAACTGCACATTTGCATTGACACTACCCATATCTCTGGTGTTCCATGACCTGTGTGGCCTAAGGCCCCTATATACTGAAAGTTAGCACAAACCATTGTCTGAAGTGGGGAAGAGAAACTCCTTCTCGCCCATGCCCTTTCTCTCAACGTTTTCTTCCCCCTTGCTTCAATTGGATTGTGCGCGACACGTGACTGTTACCTTCTCACGATCCCGCACGATTCGGTCGTCTGCTCTGAACTGGCGTCATTTTCGTGCGAGGTATGGGTGTGGCTCCACTGCTTACGGCCTGACTGTATTTTTAACAATATTTTCTGTACAAGACCTTGGCGGCAACACGACGCCATATTGCTGCGCTATGGATTGTATGAATAGCCTTGCAAAAGAAAAAAAGCCTTTTACCGTCCTGGCGGAAAAAGAAAATATTCAGCGACGAAGGCAATGGGCTTCACCAGATCGATCGGAAACGTTTAGACTGCCTCCGAGGGTGATGGGTGTATTTGATGGGCAGTTAAATACACAAGGCGCGTTAATAGCAGACATGGCATATTCCCCCATGCACATGTGCATAGTTGCAGGTGGTATTTGAGGCTTAGAAAATGTATAAAAAAATAAACCAAGCTGCTGGTTTTGCAAAACGATGGGTAATGCTAAAAATCACTGAAAAGTCCCGAGTTTGCGCGCATTGTGCTGTCTTTTATTTGCCTAACTCGAGTGATGCCGAGTCTGCAAGTGCACTTCGTTCAAGATATTATACACCTTTCCATAAAAGCGTATAAGGGCACATTCATTGCTGTGTTGGTGTGCTAGGCACGCATACTTTCTGGCTGGCCGCATTTTTGAGCGAGCGCTGGCTGGACTGTGATTTTGATAAACAATGGAAACATACATACTCCATCATCTCATGAGTTGCATGCAGCAAAGGTAAAAGCACAGGCACGAGCGTGCGGCTTTCAAATTTGCATTTCTTTCACGAGCACTCGCGAAAGGAAAGCAACTCTGAAGCCATGTGCCACCGCCTATGCCTTTGCCATTGTTGCACACAATTCTCAAGGTAGAGTATAGAAAGTTGTAGTATAGCGTACGCTAAGGGTTGCGGGCCTTGCGGGCACGTGCTCAATCCATGCTCAAAGCAATGGCACGAGCTCCCGCTAGCAACGCAGTCTTTGCCCAGTATCCACCAAAACTGTCTATTTACATGCAGGAATAGGTGCATTCTATTGTGCGCCTGCTTCTAGCACGTGCTCCAATAAATGGATAAACGCAATATATTTTTGCAGTGCATGTCGATGTCCCAAAAAACTAAAAACTACACTGTTTTCTTTCTTTTTTTTTTCATTGTTTGCGTTTGGTGGAATTGGAAAGCTTGTCTTTGCATCCGAGCGACTCCAACTCTGCAGGCGCTTTATTACATTTTTCGATCGAGACATCTTCCCGTGCTTTAGAATTCTAATAAAGGTGCACAAACGCTAGTTTCTTCATGTTAAAAAACAAAACTGTCTTCATATATAAAAAAGTGTCTAGTCCACTGTATGCAATAGCACACAAGTAGAACTGGCATGCAGGGTCTCGGCTAAAAATCGCGGCGGGGGACATAGTGCGGAAGAAGGGCGAAGAGGATCGCCCTCGATGGAAAACAGAAAAACGTGGGGAGAGGGAGAATTGCGTTACTTTTCAGTATACAGGGGCCTTAGTGCGGCCATGCTGTGGGCAGGCAGAAGGTGTCCTGGGCTCACTTTCTCCTGTCAGTCACTACAGAGCCATTCTTTATGTGAGATGGATAATAGTTTGTCCGACTAGCAAAATGGTTGCACTTACATAATGGTTTAATGGATTGAGAAATAAGGTTTCATTATTGTACTATTCCGAGAGATAACCCACCTAAAATTGAAAGCAAATCGAGTGAAAATAAGGTGTGGGCTAATAAAAAAAAAAGTTGAAAAAAATAGATATTGTGATTTGCGAAACTTGTAATCGCAGGGAGAGGCGATGAACTAAAGACGACTCTCCTTTCCAGTCAGCAATGTTTGCTTATCTTTCGCCATTGGCAAGGGCCCTGCATTTACTATAAATGGGCTGTTTCTCGGTGTTTTAAAGAAATAACAAATCATGCCAAAAAAAGGGGGCGGGTTACTTTTCGGGGGTGGGGCATCTCTCGGAATTTTACAGTAATCTACCGACTCGGTGGCCACTTGCAAAAGTCATATGCTATTTATTATTTCTAAAAAAAATGTTTTTCAATGTCCTATAAGCATGCAGAATTTCATTGAGTTCCACATACATATGTGGAACTTTTCCAGCTGTGCTTAGTTTCCCATGGTCTGCAATTTTTCTTGCCTTCTGATGAGCTGAACATTTCCTGGTCTTTTAGGGTTTCACAAAGAGATTCTGTTGTGTATTAAAGATGGCATCTTGAGCGAGATGGGTTTGTATTTCAAGCAGCACACCCTCAGTGGCCTAATCAGCCGTGGAAAGACAGATGCCCGTTTCAGGAAAGGCAAAGAATCGTATAAACATAGTATTGTGTTTATACGATTCTTTGCCTTTCCCGAAACGGGCATCCGTCTTTCCACGGCTGATTAGGCCACTGAGGGTGTGCTGCTTGAAATACAAACCCATCTTGCTCAAGATGCCATCTTTCCAAGTTGATGCATGTGGCCCGCTCAGTCTTAGAATACAGAAAAGGTTGAAAAGCATGTTGTCCAATCCGTCCTCACTGAGTCTCTAGGAGAGAGTCTCTGAATATTCCCTCTACCATTTATTTTTTCTCTAACTCCAGTCCAGTAAAAAGCTTGTGGGCATTGTTTTTTTCCTTTCTAACATCTTTTTTCCCCTCTTCCGTGTCTCCTCCTCTTTTGGCCTGTGGAATGGTGGTCATCCCGTCTGCAGCTCCAAGGGTTGCAGAGCAGAGCCCAGAGCTGTCTTTCTGAACAAGGCCACGTCGAGCCTCGGCATCACGCTGCTTGGAGGCAACGCAGTGGGCATCTTTGTACACTCGGTGCAGGAGGACTCCCCGGCAAGCGGCGTTGAGGGGCTGCACCCCGGAGACCGCATCTTGGAGGTGGGCCCCTTCTGGGGAACGCTCAGAGGATGAGCAGCCCAGCTTGTGCTGGGATTTCTCAGCTCAGCTTAAAAGGCCACTTTGGCCAGCCATAACAACATGAAAGGCCAGTTTGGCCAGCCCACTTAAAAGCCTGCTTTGACCAGTCATGATCACTTAAAAGCCTTCTTTGGCCACCCATGTACACTTAAAAGGACAGTTTGGCCATTTATGACCATTTACACGCCTACATTGGCCAGTCGTGACCACATACTTAAAACGACAGCTTGGCCAGCCATGACCACTTAAGCTCTTTAGACCAGCCTTGACTGGTTACAGCTGAAACCCAATATAAATACCGTATTTATTCGAATATAGGTCGACCTTTTTTTTTTCGGAAATGTTGTCAAAAATTAAGGGTCGACCTATAATCGTGACTAAAAAATTTCGACCTAATTCGCGACCAAAACTTGAAACCCTACGGTGGGTATGGAGCTATCAACCACCTAGCCGCGCGGCTTCTTGTTTCAAAAAGCTTTTGATGCACAAAAACAACCGAACAACAGCAGCCGACAGCCCGTAGCCGCCGGCTACGGCTCTCGCGCACATTCCCTCGGCGTCGGGTTTCGCCATCATGCCTGTAGCGTTCCCCTCGCTGGGCAAGGGGGAAGGGGAGAGAGAGGAACGCAATGCACCATGCACTTTGCCCTCCTATGCGCTCCATTCCTCTCCCTCGCAAACGCGCACAAAAAGAAAAAAAAAAAAAAAACCGGAGGTACTTTAGTTTGCTTTTTTCGGCGGGTCGCGTGTTGCTCACGGGGCTCGCAGCGTTGCTCATGTCTTTGTATTTGGTCTTTCGTTACTCGCCCGTCTCCACCTTCTTTCGTTTCTTCTTGTCGTCATTTTACAACGGTGTCAGTGAGGTATTGTCGTATTGTTGCCCATTTGTGAGGATGTCTACCAAGCTGACGAAGCTTCGGACGATGATATGTCCGGAAGTTCTGACGATGCATAAGTTTTTGACATCGCCCTGTGATTTAACTGAGAGTGCTGTAAATAAAGGTTTGTTTCTTTTGCCCTAACTTTCCCCTGTTCCTTAAAAAAAAAAAAAGAAAGGTCGACCTATATTTGAATTATTTTTTTTTATTCTCGGTGGGCTCAATAAATAGGGGTCGACCTATTTTCGTGGTCGACCTATTTTCGGGTAAATACGGTATATGCTTTGCCATTTTTCGCCCAAGCCCCTGCTTCTGGATCATACTAAAGTCGATTGAGCATCTGCATTTAGAGAGAGCGATGGACATTCAGAGGAGAATGTTGTTCTTCCTAGTTTTTATGATTTGTGGCTGATGGAGTTTTGTTTTCCCCTTTCTTCCAGTACAACAACACAGATCTCAGAAATGCGACTGCTGAAGAAGCTGCCTATGAGCTGGCCAGGCCTGCTGAGAAAGTCCAAATTCTTGCACAGTACAATCCAGAGCGTGAGTGGCCCCTCGTCTAGCAACACGGTCGTCTATTTACCGACACCGTTTACCGTGTTGCAGCCTGGAATAATTTTGTACCTTACTCGTGTGCACCCGCACGAGAAGCTAATAGCTCCTTTTGGAGGGTTACCTGTTTTTACCTTAATTAGGCAGTCGCTTGTTTAAAATACCGAGCAAGTGCCCACCCAAAATTTTGAGATCACCTTGAAATATGGGGGGATGTGCACCTCTTAGGTCTAAAAGTAATATTGGTGAAGAGACACAAGGTAGTGCAGGCTTCGCCACTTTGCACGAGCGTGCTCCGAGAAGTGGCCAATGGGAGGAGCTCCTCGGCTGTAGACATACTTCGTTCACCTTTAAACTAACAGCACTGCTTAAGCTATGCGCTCGCCGGACCAATACACCTCCTCCCTTTCATAACCTGACTCAAGTCTCTGTACATAAGTATAGGCAAGGACATGATCATGTGGCGAAAGATGGACGTACAACTGGTCCAACAAGCTCGTAGTGTATGCCGCACTGTCTGCTTAGGGATGAACGGAGTATAGGTGGATCAACATTTCATTTGCCCTTCGCTTATTTTCCAGATGTTTCAAAAGTGGCAGGTGGGTGCTCATTGTGAAATGGGTGCATGCTCGCAATTTAATGGTATGTTGGAAAGGGGGCTGAACGTATTTAGGGCCTACCTGGCGTACGAGCGATGTAACCGAAAAAGTAACCCTAGAAAGAGAACGAGACGCCCTGAGAGGAGGGGTGCGGTTATCTCGTTGCACAAAGTTGCCTCGGTGGCTCCGAGGCAGAGTGCCCGCAATCCGACGATAGCTCATATCACAGGAAGGCGCCACATAACTGAGATTTCGGTTATTCGTCAGAAGAGCTTCGGGTGGTTGAAGTGGATTCTCAGTGCTTCGCTGGGGCATGCCGGATGTTTTTTATTAGTTTGGCACAAAAAAACCCCCAAATTTGAGTTAACCTTTTGCAGAATATTTCCGCATGCATGATAGAGAAGATACCCTTCTCTGTTCATCTAAAAGGTTTGCGTGCACTCTTACCCCGAGCGTAAACGATAAGGAGGCCAGAATGACCTTGTTTAGTCAGGCTCTTTCCCGAACACTCTAGGTCGAATATTCGAGGTGACAAGCATGGTAGGTAAAGAGCCGAGCGCCGTACTGCCAATGCACTCGCTGATTCTCCCTCGCGATAGCCAGCTGTTGCGCCAACAAACTGTCGCTTGCCTCTGCCGCTGCCGACGCTCGCTGCTGCTTTCTTGACAAGTGTTCTTTTTCGTTTCTGGCACCAGTCCGCCTCCATTAAATCTTTAGTTTATTCCGTTTTCTTCTGCCTCATCTCTTATTCTTGACAATATATCTATAGTACCATATTTTCCAGTGTATACGTCGGATTTATTTACTATTGCAGCGAAGCTGTTGTACGCTAGGGTCTGAGAAAAAATGTGTCCTCACATGTCGACAGAAAACTCCCCATTGGTCGTGGCAAATATGAATAGCTCCATGAGCGCTCCGTGTTGTCTGTCTCCCTTTTGTCCTCGTCTTAAGCGCCATCATGACGTCAAATTCCCAGTACCAACTAGCCCAACGATCTCCATTGAATAAATAAAAAACAAAAAGAGGGGTCAAGTATGAATGTATAAAAATAAAAAGAAGAAGCAACCAGCATAAGTCAACCTTCCTTGGCATTATTAGATAGTGAGGTCCTGATCCCCTGTTATAATCTCTAGGCATCGTCCTCAAGGTCGTCCTAGAAGTCGTCCTAGAAGTTGTCTTTGAGGTTGTCCGAGAGTTCATCCAAGGCATCGTCCTCTAGGCATCATCCTCGAGGTCGTCCTTGAGGTTGTCCTAGACGTCGTGCTCGGGGTCGTTCTAGAAGTCCTCCTCGAGGTCGTCCTAGAAATTATCCTTGAGGTTGTCTGAGAGGTTGTCTTAGAAGTCATCCTTGAGGTCGTCCTAGACATTGTCCTTGAGGTCGTCCTAGAAGTCGTCCTCGAGCTCGTCAGAGAATTCGTCCTTGAGGTCGTCCAAGAGGTTGTCCTAGAAGGCGCCCTCAAGATCGTCCTAGAAGTAGTCCTAGACGTCGTCCTTGAGGTCGTCCTAGACGTCGTCCTCTAGGCGGGCATCCTCGAGGTTGTCCTAAAAGTCGTCCTTAAGCTCATCCTAGACGTCTTTCTCTAGGCGTTGTCCTCGAGGCCGTCCTAGACGTCTAGGCGTCGTCCTCGAGGTAGTCTTGGAAGTCGTCCTCGAGGTCGTCCAAAACGTCGTCCTCTAGGCATCGTCCTAGACTTCAAAAGAAAACAGCTTCGCTTGTCCTCCATCTTCACGTGAAGTGGAAGGGCTCTGCAATTTTTTTTGTCGGTGTGCCTTATACATTGTTGCGACTTATCTGCATTTTTTTCTTCGAGTATGGACTTTCACTGTGCAAATTTGCCGCGGGGGTCATATTTCTCGTTCGATTCGTTGACAAGAATGTTAAAACTGGTTCCCTGCTTGCACATATATCACAATAGGCATATGCAGGTTTATTGATGCTATTTTTCCACAAACATATAAGTGCGACTTACGTGCCGACTTTTTTGCGAGAACTCTTGTTCATTGGGGGTGCAACTTCCACTACGGCACGACCTATGGACCATAAAATAAGGTAAATGTCTCGAGAATCTATATTTCAATGACTGGCAATGGTAAATAACTTTTCCGCTTTCCTGCCTCAAAGTTTCTAACTGCAGTACCTGGGACGACTCTCGTCAAATAAAAAGGGCGGGAGGGTCACGAGTTGGCGCCTCAGCTCTGCCGAAGTCAGATGCCAGAAGCGCGTCTTGCGACGGCTCTCTCGCAGGCTTTGCGGAGATCCAGGAGCAGCCCGGGGACTCGTTCTACGTGCGGGCGCAGTTTGACCGTGCCTCGATTGACGGGTCGCTGGCGTTCCGCAAGGAGGACATCCTCTACGTGGACAACACGATGTACAAGGGCGTCCCCGGCCAGTGGAGGGCTTGGATCCTCGACCAGGATGGACAGAAGCTGAAGTGCGGCTTCATCCCGAGCAAGTACAAGTGAGTGCGGGGCCAGTCTCGGCTGCACAATGTTTGTTTGCGATTGCATTTCGTTGTCGTGGCTCTCTCACACTTTATATTTTTAGGGGCGAAGCTCCTTAGGGTCTAGCCTTGTCCATCCGGCGTCCGTGCTCACATCGATTGCCATCCCATCTGTCTTCTTAAAAAAAGAAAAAAATGTTTGCGAAGTCGACAGGATTCAAGCCTGTGCGGGGAGACCTCAATGGATTTCTAGTCCATCGCCTTAATCACTTGGCCATGACTGCGGGACAAGTAGGGGGCTCTGAGATGTGGTAGTAACTCAAGAGCTGGGGATGTTATGGATGGAACATAGCATGTAGCCGCTGAACGTCTATACAGGAGAGGGTGCTGCGGTCAAATGCGTATATAATCGCGTTAAACTTTGCATGCATTTGCTCAACGTTTATAGACGAGAGGGCGCTGCGGTCAAATGCTCAAATGCGTATATAACCACGTTCCATGCCACACATTCTCTATCTGACGTGGACCATTGACTTATGCGATGGAGATGCGCTCCCACGGCTTCTAGCGGATCCCAGCTGATCCGCTAGAACATGCGTTCTCAAACTGGGTTCCGCGGAACACAGAGGTTCCGTGGAGTGCTTGCTTGGTTTCTGCGAGCACAGGAACCGACTGATCCCGGCAGCAGATATAAGGCTGACCCTAAGCGTTACTGTACTGAGCCTCGCATCTATTCGCTGTTGTGAGCAAGGCAACCGCACCCTTCACACTAATATGTATACTGTCTTTCATTGTAATCCCACCCTTCAGTCTAATGTGTGTTCTGCTCTTTATTGTTTTATCTGTGCAATAAATATTTTGTGAACTCTTCTATTGAAAGTGTATCCAGGCAGCAAAACAGCGGGTAAGGGGGGGGGGGGGGGGGTTTCCTCGGCACTCTTTAAAGGTTGCTGGGGTTCCGCGAGACCAAAAAGTTTGAGAACCCCTGCGCTAGAAGAACCACTGGCTCTGCATTTCACCGACCATAAAGCAGTAATAATGAAGTCGAAACGCAACTCGGAACTCAGCACTACCTATGAGCAATAAAAGAAATCAGCACCATCAGCACTACCTATGAACAAAATCAGTATCATCAGCACCACCAGAGCTTCGCCCCAATCAACATCATTCACCACGTGGAGATGCGGTCATTTTTTGAGGTATGAATTTTTTGTTAGTTTTGTCGCAGGTTTCCAGCTTTGGGAATAATCGTTGCATTTACTATTTAATATTTCAAACCAGTCTGGATGCCATACCTGTATGTCACGTGGGCAGAGTACTATATAGTTAGAGTAATGCAATTGCTGCTCCGTTTGTGCCAAACTGCGCCAATATGCTTGCCCTATTTCATCCTTGTGCACTTTCACCAAAATGTGAGGAACCTGTGCCAGCATTGTGCCTAAGGTTTATTTCACTTTTTTAATACTGGAACTAAGAGCTCAGATCACGCTACACTACCGAATTGTTACAGTAGGCTTTCGTTCAGAACTTTTGATTATCACTCTGAATAACATACTGTATTCGATTTCATCTTTGTGTCTAATACCAAATACCAATCACAATATTTTTCATATCTAGTTCGTAGTTCATTTCTGGCGAGTCACAGTTTGTTATACTAAACTTGGATTGAGCGCGTCCGTAGTAGATTAAAAAATACGAAAGAGTTAAACAAAGAGGACGGACAGGACAAACATGTCCTGTCCGTCCTCTTTGTCTAGCTTTCTCGTATTTTTGTTATACTAAGCTCGTAATTATTCTTAACGCTATCGGCGGGAGCCCAGCCTGTGCACGTGGCGGGTTAGTACAGTGCAATACACTTTATAACGATGTGAGAAAACCTGAAAATTCAATCGTTATAACCGATTATTGTTGTATCTGGGCTAGGAACTCTATGAACTGATTGTTATAAGAAGTACATCATTATATGTGGTATCGTTATAAGTTGACTTATTAAGGTATTTAGCTCACAAAGTAGAGAGAAGAACAGGACAGAAAAGAGCGCCACTCACAACTATGTTTACTGAGAAGAAAAGAAAGAGAGAAATAAAAGACCCAAATGATCTGTCGCGGACTCGTGCATCTACCACCAGCCCCGTGAATGATAGTGGCTGACAGATTGCACTGTATGCAGACGTCGCAGAAACCTCATATGATGATCTTCAAAGTTTTGCAACTTGCATTTCTCGCAATATTAACTTCGTTGTAAGCTGGCAGGCACTTACGCACAGTGGGTCATACAAAAATGTATTATACCTTTGTTATCAAATTGCACTCTGGAATCGCTTGTGTCCTGCACACAGGAAGTTCTGCTCCTGCAAACATTTAACATGCCTTCATTTCCGATAAATATGAAGAAGCACAGAATTTATCACGAATGAGCTGGATGCATGCTGTGTGTACATGACATCACGTGACACCAAGACATTGTGTGACTGATGTCACTTGACTGATGTCACATAACTTCATGAGGTCACCTAACACCAGTCGTGCGATGTCAGTGTCATGTGATGCCATTATGTGGCGTGATATCATGACGTCATGCGACACCCAAACTGGACATCATCACGTAACATAACAGAGTCATGTGACCCGTGCGTCGGTCGAGCTTGTAACTTTTCTTGTAAAAACTGAAACCCAGCCCTATAATGCTTCCTGTGTTAAGAGCCTGGTTGTGGTCACCTTGCACCCTTCCCGTTGCAGGGCGGAGGAGGAGCTGCTGATGAAGCGCAGCCTGTTAGACCTGGAGGAAGGGGGCAGCGGCCGGCGAGGCTCGACGTCTGCCCGGCGGAGTTTCTTCCGGCGGCGGCGCCACCAACAGCGCTCGTCGCGGGAGGACGGCCGGGAGCTGGCGTCCTTCTCGGACGTGTCCATCAACAACAGCTGCTCAGGGTCTGCGGGCACCCTGGCCGAGGACCTGCCCCCGACCTACCTACGCGTCGACCGGCTCAACTGTACGTGAGACGCAGCGGGGCTGCTTGGTTGGGAGGACGGCACATTTACTCCTTTACAGAGCGCAACGGAGGGAGAGGAGAAGATAGGGCACAGTGAGAGGGAGTTATTACGTGTGTGACGAAACTCCACCTCCACAGCTGCTCCTTAGCAGACAACGTTATGGCCTTGCATACCTTGTTCGTTGGAACGCATCTGGTGGTTGTTAGTCGACAAAAACAACAGATCCTTGGAGGTATTTCCTCTCCCCTTAAAAGTTGCTGTTTGTAATGGATTGGTGGATTTCCAAAAGCCGTAGAAAAAGCAGGGTCGCCATTGCTACGACTAGCAGATGATGCTGGTGTTTGGCGTTTGAACGCTAGACCCTGGCACCACTGCTCCCTTTGTGTAAGGAGCGTAGTAGTACACTCTAATTGGAGGGAGACTGGGGTGAAACAAAGGCAGCTAGCCGTTGCGTCTGCCCACCATCTTTCCAATCGGAGCTCAGTGCTCTGATGTCACCGCACCCTCTGTGCAATAAGTGCCGAGCCCTCATCTCCTCCATTATTTGCGCTCTGTATTGGTGAGGAGATTGAACTATAGGAGGTGCTTTGTCCAGTTTATTTTTTCACGGAGCTCGGTGTTTACCCAACTGAATTCGTTTCGTCGTCAACTGCGATCGAAAGCAGGGCACAAATCTGGCACGAGTGCTACAAAGCGTTCAAGTGCTTTGATTGAACACAAGCCCCAGCCGAGTGCTGCGCCAGAAGTGCTGGCAAATAAGTCATTCATGTTGTTGTTGTCCCCATGGGTCTGGTTCTTAACTTTGCCGCTAGTGATGCAACTCAGAATCTCCTGCCCAATAATGAGCTACGAGTTCAGAATGTGCCAGAAGCTCCTCCCACACCCCCCATTACTGCCAGCCACTGTTCCTGCGCAATGTGCAGACAGACCGCTAGCGAGGCGAATGTCACAATCATGTTGCACAGCCCATTGTGTCTACTGCCTTTTCTGTTTACGATAAGGAAAGAACGACATTGCAGACAAACAGACAAGACAAGCCTGTCTTGTCTGTTTGTCTTCAATGTCCCTCTTTCCTTATCGTAAATTATAAACTAACACGCTCAATCATCTACATGCCTTTTCTGGTTGGTTTTTGGAGCGATTCAGCGCGTTGGCTGGTACATAGTGGTGTTTATTTGGCACATTCTTGACTTGCACCTGGCTATACCTGGTACTGAAACTCTCTACCGTAAACTTGTGCTATAGAAGGAAACTTGACTGTTTGCATCAGTAGCTTCACAAAGTCGCTTTACTATTGGCATCGGAACAGTACCATAACCTTATTGTCAATGAAAAGTCGGGATGAGTTTTCTATGTGGGTACAGACACTTTAGAAGTGCTACACTTACATACTATTGAAAGGTTCTGCCAATTACAAGTAAAATATAAATGTGGTAAAGATGAGATGTAAGCTCATGATGCTGGAGGACTTTCCTGTCATCCTTGTTCGGTCAGTGACAACAGGTTTAACTTCCGTGCCAAGAAATTGTGCGTGCTCCGCTAGTGTTCTGCGCTTTCTAAGGCATTTCTGAAGCTGTCTCAATAATGCTAAGCTGCAATGTTTCAGTGGTGTGTACGGTCTTTTCTTTGTGTGTATGTTGTTTCTAGCTCAGCTGGCCTTACCAGAAGTATGAACAAACTAGCTCAGCTTAAAGGCCGACGACCAGACTCGAGATTCTGCAAGGCAGAATATCCTCCTTACCATGGAGGAGGAGGAAACAGGCAACGGTGGACAGGGTAGAAGTGGGGAGAGGAGCAAGCGGGGGAAAAGTGGAAAGAGCGAACTGGTCGTCGGTCTTTAAGCTTGTTACAGCTGCAATCTGCCGCACTAAAAAGATGTTTGCGTCGTTCGATAGACAAACTCTGCTTTTGGATGATCCATCCGATAGTGATTCTGCTCGAAGACTCTCAGTGTCTCTTCGACGGTCCGTGCCCTCAATGCCTTTGTCCGTGCTTCCCTCAGACCCGAGCCTGCGGCCGGTGATCCTGGTGGGGCCCCTGCAGGAGGCGGTGGTTGACAAGCTGGAGCAGGACTTTCCCCACATGTTCCAGCGCTGTCTGGGCCAGCCCGTCAGGGGAAGCCTGCAGGCCCTGGAGCGGGGCCTGCAGGACCTCAGCCTGCTGGACTTTAGACGCAGGGGCTCGCACTTCGAGTGCCTCACCCTCCAGGCTGTCAGGAGCATAGCCCACAAGGTAAGGGAGTCTTGGGGTCACTTGGTTTGTGGTCACTCGTGCAAATTTAGACTAAATTTTTAGCCGAATAGGGGAAGGGATTGTTTCCTCATACAGAGGGACCATGAAATTACTTTTTTTACTTTTGCCAACTAACTTTTAAATTAAACATTCAATGTTCACTGAACGTCGAACAGGCATCCATTTTTGTTTTGATTTATAAACTTCTACACAAAGTATTAATGAAATATAAAGCTTTTCTTCCTTTCCAACTCACTGCAAAACAAGCCGCGGCATAATTTTGACAGTCGTGACGTGCTCTGGCACCGGACCCAAAAGTTCTCTCTGAAGTAGAGAATGGGAGCATTAGCAGCGAGCTGGCAGTGTGCCGGTAGGTTTTACCACAGCGCTTTACTGCGCTGATGGCGCCAATGCCACCGACATAATATTTTGAATCAGCACTTCTCATCACTGCGATAACCATGGACACATTGCAGCTGAACGAAATTCATTTAGATACATTGCGCTACAGTGGCAGCATGGGACTGGTCCCATACGCAGGTACGCCTGTTGGAAAGTGCGGAGAGTCTTCCAATGAAGACTTTAGTTCTTTATCGGAATCGGCGTAGGACTTTTGGAACTTCCCGCATTCGCGGAGAGCACTGTGAATGTGGCTATAATCATGCTCGCTGTCAAAATGTTTCGAGCATACACGAAGGATTCTAGACCTGGGGTCCCTCAAACTGATGAGTCTGCACCAAGTGCTTCGACGTGGTTGCTCGAGTGGCATGCGTTGAATCTGCAGCCATTTCATCTTTTAAGCGCCAGATTGCAAAAACTGTAATTCAAGCTTTTGCAACAAGTGCGTTAGCTACGACTGCGCCCGTTGTGACAGGAGAGAACGGAACAACCGCTTTGCGCTGCACGTACACACTCCCGTAACCACTGCAACAAGCGAAGCAGGTCATCAACACGACGGCCACTTCTTCGCCGCTGTCAGCTGTTTCTGTGGGGCCTCTAGAAAGAAAGGGATGCACTGCCACTTGCTTGCATAGCAGAAAATGGACAAATTTTTTTGGGGGCTCAAGCTTTATTCATTCTTATTTTGTCAGGATAGGCTCGCAGAGCAGAGTGGATGAAAAAAAAAGGAAAGAAAACGATGCAGTACGCCATCTTTGACGATCACGACTTTAACACATGACTTTACCTATTGTACAAATCTCACCACACGCCTTTTCTACGATTGCAAAAGACAACGTAATCTTAGCAGCGATATAGCAACATAAAAATATGACTTCATAATCACATAGGCATTGCGAGCGTTCCCAAATGCTAACTCTAATCACTTTTCTCGGGTGATGAAAGTGCATGAAAATTTGTATCCTTCATACACTCCTTTAAATACAGTATGCACCAGTAATGCCTTGAACTTGAGCACACGCATGGAATGCGCAAAATAAGAAATCTGGGCAATGTTCGAGGAAACTAATACTAAGAAAGCACCACTGTAGTCAAAGTAAGCAAACACGACGGCACGAGCGTTTCTGCTGTCTTGAGGGTGCCGCCAGAACATCGCCGCACGAGTAGGTGGATCTTCTTTTCTAGGACGTGCTGGGTTATCACTGTGACACACAACTAGAGTTCAGTCAAGGATAGCACTCTACGCGGAACGATGAGCATCCACCACGCTGACCACGTTGACGATCACCACCGATGCCATGTTTTTCAGCAGGTAGCGGGAACTGCGACCGGCATGCAACGCGCGTGGCCGAGCTTTCTTAGCAGACAATGCTCGTAGGGTTGACGGCGCAGGCGCAGTCTGATCTTTCTCTTGCTTCGTTTACCACGCGATAGATGGTGCATAGCTCCGAGCATTATAAAATTCAGTAGTTTTGGTCACATCGCTAATCATGCTACAAATTGTGGAGCGAAATATTCTCTAACAATACTTTTAAGAAACAGCCACCGTCTATGTATTGTTTGTGATCGCGGTGCTGGTGAGGTAGGCTTTTATTTAATAGGCAACATTTTTTTGGCACTGCGGATACATCGCAATGAAAAGGCAGAGAGCTTTCGTATGAAAGAAGATACAAAAGAGTTTGCTTTACTTTTGAAAGATCTATGGCGAAAAAATATTTTGCCTCTATTTTTGTGTTTTGGTTTTCTTTTCACACCTTTTACAATGTGCGGTGGATGAAATTCGATTTAAAATTGTTTCATGGTTCCTTTACAGGAACACTGACAGGGTATTTAGGCTTGCCAAGGTTTTTATTTGTACATGACATATGAAAGCCAAACTGCCCAGAACACAATTTGCGGCTTGAAATTCGGTTTCTTTCCGCCTGAAAACCGCCAATCGAGAACTGGCCGGTTTGAGTCGCGCTCACTCTCTCCTCCGTGGTCACATGCTGTTTTCTATGGTCTAGACACAACCAGCAAAGATAATCAAAGTCGTAGGTCATCGAAGGCCCAGACTTAATACCAAAAATGGACCAAAAAAGAATATACCCATTTTTTGTGGCTTCAAAAAAATTGCCAATATTTTGATTCAAAAAGAATTGTTGCGCAGCAACGTGACTTCCGGTAACTTTCTCCCCCTCTATATTTCTCCTTCCTCCCCAGTCCAGTTTCGGTTTTGGTTTCGAGTCTGTTTTTTTACTTTATTAAAGATATATATTATACACTGAACCAAAATATTGATTGGGTAGTCTTCTGACACCATAATAAATCGCCTAGCAAAAAATAAATAAACATTTTTTGGGGGGGTGTTAGTGTCCCTTTAACACATGAACTGTGGAGCTATAGATAAAGTGCTGACTTTGCACTGTATTAGTGCTCTATGAGTGCTCTGATGCATGTGACCCCACCTTTTCTTTTGCATGCATATGCGATGTGGCACTGAGTCGCTGCTGACAGTATCACTGTTGCAGCTGTGTTATCTCGGTGCTGAGATGCTTGTGTGAACCAGCCTCAACACAGAATTCTGGCTGTCGTACAAATGTAAACTTTAGGGAATGATATTGCAGAAATTGCGTGAGATGAACAACTGCTTAGAAAGAGGGATGCACGCATGGATTTATATTGTGCTGTTTAACCATGTAGTAGAAGTCAGAGACTGAAGTGTTCTGATCATAACCGATTCTTAAAGCAAGCAAACTCTACACGGCTGTAGATTACCACTGTGAAGTTCAATTAATTTCTGATTTATTTGAATATTCATGATGCATCCACCGAAAATATCTTGTTATTTTGTTTTGTTCCCAAGTTTCGTCTTTTATTGTCTCCACGTTGCTGGAGCTCCAAAGAATCTCTGCATATAAGCTTCCTTTGCGAGAACTTTTTGAAAGGAGCTGCCAAGAGGGCAGTAGCAAACAGACCCTCATGGCCTAAAACTAGGTGTTGCGTGGTTTTTTTAGAAAGGAATCGCACGTAGTGTGGCCGTAGGTGTCTCCAGAATGCATAACTTCAAAGTACCCCCTCTATTCTAAGTGCTTTGTTTGGGATCATCTGACACATGGGGCAGCAGCACTTCTTTCAACATGCGAAACTCTGGCTTGTCCTTTCAGGCATGCCATGCTCTGCTTGACGTGAGCTTGTCCGCTGTCGAGAGGTTGAACAGATGCCAGATCTTCCCCATCGTCATATTTATCAAGTTCAAAACTACTAAGCAAATAAGGTGAGTCACGTTTGAGGAGGGGCTAAGGGTGACCAGATTTCTCCTCCAGACTTGTCACACCTATAATTCTTCCTTACACTGAAATATGTTTTGATTGAGTCTCGAGTTACATAAGGTTCACATTACTGTAGCATGGTGGTGCGTTTTAAGGAGGTTCGCCAATTATATTTTATTGACCCTGTTAATGAAATAATTAAAAATGACTGCAGTTTACACAAGCTCCAGCCCCGAGTTGGAGCTTGCGTTTTCAAGATAGCATGGCACTGGTGTCTTTGGTAGATACACCCAGTGTGTGACTGTTCTGATTTAAATATGTAATAGATTGTGCTTCTTTTGCTCTTTGCTTCATTAAAAAGGTCCAAAGGCGTAAACCACATCTTTGTAACCTCACAATCGGATGACCCGTGCAGTTGTACTGCCTCTAATTTTGACAACTGTCATAGGCATTCCTATAAAACTGACTGGGGAATAGTAGCCAACAAACAGCACGAGGGAAAGTTGTTTTTGTGACACGGATCTGCTTTCTTTCCTTAGATGCTGTTCAGAATATCCAACTTGATTGAAATCCACGCATTGAAATGACAGTTGCTATCAAAAGAGATAATTTGATTTTTATCTTTTTAGTTGCAAGGTTTCTGCAAACACCTTGTTGCTCCAAACAAACAGTGCCAGTAATATATTATACTGCCGTATTTACTCGAATATAAGTTGACTATGAATATAGTTCGATGCCTTTAAACTTGCCGAGAATAAAAAGAAAATAATTTGAATATAGATCAACCTTTTATTTTTTTAAAGAACAGAAGTTTGGGCAAAAGAAAGAAGCAAACCTTTATTTACAGCGCTATCAGTTAAATCACAGCACAATGCCAAAAACTTAATCATTGTCAGAACTTTTGGACATGTCGTTGTCGTCGGAAGCTTTGTCAGCTTCGTTGACATCCTCACAAATTCGCAACATAACCTCCCTGACACTGTTACAAAATGGTGACAACAAGAAACGAAAGAAGGTGGAGACTGGCAAAGCGACGAAAGACCACATACAAAGACGCGAGCAACGCCGCAAGCTGCCGGGAGCCGCCGTGAGCAACAAGAAGCGAAAGTAACCTCTGTATTTTGTTTTGCTGCACGCCCGCGAGGGGGAGGGGGAGGAGAAAAGGGGGGAGGAGGGGAGGGGGAAGGCAGTGGGGCAAGGTGCGTGGCGTGTCGAGTGTTGTGTCCGCCAAACATGCGAGCCCAAGGGATCCTAGGGATGCACAAGAGCGGTGGCCACTGTGGGCCTCTGGCTGCTGCTGCTTCGGTTGTTTTTGTGCACGAAAAGCTTTCTGAAACAAGAAGCAGTGCAGCGCTACAGCAACGTGGGCTTGGTGACTCAATAGCTCCAAGCACTCGGTAGGGTCCCGAAATGTGGTCACGAACGTAGGTCGAAATTTTCTGGGCACAGTTATACGTCGACCCTTAATTATTGAGAACATTTATGAAAAAAAAAAAGGTTGACACATATTCAAATAAATACGGTGGCCTTTTATCTGCGGGCACATTGGGTAGTGAGGATGCTACATTCTAACGGCGGGGACGAGGTTTAGTTGTCCCACCTCCAGCGCTAGCTCGCTGCCTTCCGGGACATTCGGATGTCTCATCCACCTCGAACGTGGTGCACAGCCCAAGCGTGACGGAAGACGTGGGGCGCGAGCTGGTGGCAGGCGTTCAAAGTATGCGCCCTGCCGTTCCCCCTCGGTCGGCGACCATAGTACATAGTCAGATTCTGCTGTGTGTTATGACCGTGCCTGTACATGTTCATTTTGCACCCCAGTGTATAAACATTGAGCTTTTTTCGTGATGTGAGCTGCACCCTCTTTGATTCAGGGAAGTGAAGGACTCTACATACCTGACAGAAAAAGTCACCACCAAGGCAGCTAAGGAGATGTACGAGCACGCCCTGAAGATCGAGAGCGAGTACAAACACCTCATCAACGGTGAGTGGGCCTTGGGAATCCCAAATGCCCCATTGCCGAGCCGTCGTTTCTGTGCATTTGTTCCACTGCACATGCTTTGGCGTATATCAGCGAAGGTCTGCTGTCAGAACTTTCTTTGAGAGAACCCATAACATTGTGTTGCGGGGACGTGTAAAAAAGACTTCCATAAAAAGTGTTGTTTTCGCAATGCCCTTTGTTTCAGTTGCACAATGTTTTGGAGCCTTATGGTTGTTTCACACACGTGCGTTTGACTACGACCGACTGCACCACAACCGGTTTGAATGTTTTCACCTAAACATCTTTTCCAAAAGAGTGCAAGAAACTGAGCCCAGCGAATTTCCCAAAAAGATTTAAAATAATCTTTAATCGAAGGAATACAATACAGTGTAGACCGCATATAACGTATGTCGCGGGAGTCACGAAAATCCGCACTATAAGCGGTACCGCGCTATAACCAAAACATCCTTTTTCAGGCCAAAATACATGCCATCAGACAACTTACCGTTGTAAAAGAATTTACTTTATCTTAGATGAAAAATACAGCTTAGTTTGAGGACTAGTACACTTTTCTCTCAAGTGTGTCACACATTTTGAAAGAAATGAGCGACTTTTGCCTGGCGGAGCCTTTTAACGGCGCCGCGGGTTGCGGACGGACGTTGCGAGCGTTCAGGATTGCTAACCCTAATCACTTTTCTCCGGCGATGAAAACGCGTGAAAACTCGCATCCTTTATACGGTACGCGCCAGTAATACCTTCAACTTGAGCACAGGCATGAAATGCTCCAAATAAGAAATCCGGGCGATGTCCGAAAACACAAATGCTTAGGAAGCACCACCGTAGTCGAAGTAAACAAACACGACGACACGGGCGTTTCTGCCGTCTTGAGAGTGCCGCCACAACATCGCCGCACAAGGAGGAGGATCTTCCCTTCTAGTACGTGCTGGGGGATCATAGCGACACACAACGAAAATAAACAGTCAAGGATAGCGCTTTGACGCGGAACGATGAGCTCCACCACGCCGTCTACCGCGTGCTACCGCGTCGACGATCACAGCCGACGCCATGTTTGCGGATAGAAGCAGCCGGCCCGCGACCGGAGGAGGAGAAGCGTTGTAATAGAGGTTGGGGGGAGAAAGGAGAGAGCCAATAGTGTGGCATGCAACGCGCGCGAACACTTCTCCTCGGCCTGCGATTGGTCTGTCGTTGCGGTTGTTTCCAACCGTCGCGGAGGGACGCACGCACGTGAACGAAACGTGCGTGCGTCCCTCCGTCGCTATGGCAACTGAAGCCTCTCTCTTCGCTTCTTCCCGCTTCTTCGAACATCCTCCTTGCCCCGCGGGTGCCGCTTGCGGCTCGCGCTGTTATGTAGCGCCGCACGGGGAAGCGTGCTCGCTGCGTCGGTCAGTCGGCACGGCCGCCGGGCTGTTCGAAAAACCGCACTATAACCGGTACTTCCCTTCGCGCGCCTGCATTTTAAGCGGTATGTAAATACATGGAGTTCTATGGGAGGTGAACCGGTGGTTTAAAAAAGCCGCGTTATATCCGGTCCCGCACTATAAGCGGTTACGTTGTAAGTGGTCTATACTGTATAATAGAAAGTGAAGCTAACCTGCAGCTTTAATGGCCTGCCTTCCTGTTATGACGTCGGATGTATAAACATCGGCACATGGCCAGCTTGAGCCTGTTTCACCCAGGGTTGGAAGCAGTCGGAAGGCCTTCGCGATCGTCCGTGGGAAGGAATGGAACATGAATAATCAAACTTGTTCGAATCAAGCAATGACCAGCAAATGTTACAATTTTTAGCACGAGATTTCAGGTGATTTGCCGTTCGCATTCCAATCTCCGGCATTGCCTCCAAGGGGGCCTCCCGTGGGTGCTGCATTCACAATCTGCTGACATTTGGACCCAGATACTGCCTCGAAGCAGAATGGCATGGAAGGTTTTATTAGCTAGCGAGATGTGAACAGTTGTTTAGCACAACGCGAACACTAGAAGGAAGCGTTTATGTCTGACTGTTCGGACCCAGTTCCGTCACAGAGGCTTCCCGGTCTGAAACCAATAAGATGTCATGTTGCTGCATTTCTTTATGGTGTTATTGCACTCCACAGCAAATCACCACCTCCTGAAACAACCTAAACCAGGCAATATTCGCGAAACCACAGACGCTCACTATAACTACAACGCTGTGGAGTGGGGGGCAGTGTCTGCTCTCAGATGCAACATTTGACGTCACGAGTGCCCCTGCTCATTGTGGCCAGTAGAGCGGCAGCAAGTGATTCGGAGGTGTGTGCGTAAACTTCAAAATCCATTTTCTGAACAAGAATGAATATTTAAGTAAATATTTCGGAGACGTACTTGCAGGTGAACATTCTCTAAAAATCAACGACCATCAGTATTTTGCCAGAGCTCCCATCTAAGCCTGTTGTGATCACAGCCTTGTAACCAGCTACAAGAAAGCTAAAAACAGTTTTATAATGCCCCATTACGCGAAAATCTGGCGTCATCGGCGGCAAGACCGAGCGATGGTGCCAAAAATGGCCGACAACGCAACGAGTAAAAACACATAAAAAATGCTTGGATCGACGTCAAATTTCTCGGCGAGGTTCCGTAAACAAAGTGAATTGGCTTTAAAAAAAAAAATTTGCTACATTTCGGTTTGGGTGGTTATCGAACACGGGCCTCTAAGGTGCGAGGTGAGGAGGCTTCTCCGACGCCACGGCGGCTCCATGGTCCTAGCTGACTGAAGGTGTGCCGAGTGCATGTGTCATTGCGCACGTCACGTCGCTACCTATGGGTTGGAGGTGGCCCTTGTCATGAGTGTATGAAATGAGCGCGCTGCCTCCCGCGTATCACTTGCTTTTCGGATTTCATTGGTGCTTTACGATGATCTCTGAATTGTACACGCTTCACGATGATCTCCGAATTGTGCTCGCAATTCACGCTTGGCCATCACCGCATCGAGAGGAACACGCATCGACCTTGCCTTTCACAACAAGAACGCTGTGAAATACTTGAAATGCTTCTCAACGTACTTCACCTACGACAAGGCAATGGTCCTCTCAATCAACCTCATCCCACCACCGCCGACACCATACCACCGCAACCGTTACGACGCGAAGATAACATGCCAGACATATATCCCTTTGATAACGAAGATATTGTCATCACAGAAGATGACATAATCACGACAGACCTACCATTAGACATGGAGGATCTTATAGCTTAAAATAAAAGTCATCGTTCTGCAGCAAAGTGGTCTGAATGTTTCCGGTCTATGGCCAACGTGTACGCAAACACGCACACACTGAAACAGCAGAAAGAACTTTAATGCATGTTGAAAACATCAGTCGAAAACATTTCACCAAAGGGACAAAAATGCATTCGTATTCCCACACATCAGCAGTCTTAAGGGTATCTGCCAAGTCTTTTTAGACTTCTTTGGTCATAAATAGTTGCAAGTGTGTGAACCAGCCTTTAAAAAGAACAATGAAACCATGTTCCAGAAATTGTGAAACCTGGGACGTATATTAAGCAACTCGTATACAAATTTCGTATGTATCAAGAATAAGCTGACTTGCTTTATTTTTGTGTTATGACTCCTGGATTGTTTGTTTAAAGATACGAAATTCAATTTCAAATGTTTTATGATGTCTATCATGTCGCAGTCAAGAAGAGGTTTAGGACGCTAGTGTTCTTAGTTACAATATGTGTCCAAATACTTTTAGACGAGTGTCTTTTTGTCAAAAATGTGCATTAAAAAACCTAAGGGGCTAAGGCAACAAAATGCTTGCATCACTCTCCTCTGCCTCTAAAGAAAGACCAATGCTGCGACCACGCAGTGGCAGGGGCTGAGCCAACAGATGCCATCACTGTTTCCACTGCCAAAGTGCCCTCAAGGCTGCAAGATGACAGAGCTAACTTTTTCATTGTCTTCACATTTCGATTGTGTCATCAAGTCAGCTCCATCCGCTTTTCATTGTCAGAGTATCACCACCTATTCAATATTTTTGGGCCCGCTTACTTGGCTTCTGGTGGTCTCTTGCTTGTCTCAGATGCCTAACTTTATCAGCAGCTCTGGGAATTCACCATCATTTGTCGTCAGCTGCAAACTGTTCCCTCCAGTGTACCACAAATCTTTAACGTGCGCCGTGTATTAGCGATGCACGACCGCAAGCCAGAACGACGCTCATCCAGATGGAAACGGGTCTGGGATTGAAATGGACGTCTCCCTTGTCCTTTTGCAGCCGTGATCCCGGGGAGCAACCTGGCCTACATGTGCACCCAAGTGAAGATGTGCGTGGATGACGAACAGAACAAGGCACTCTGGGTTCCCTCTGGAACGCTCTGACGCTGAGCAAACTGCCGACACGAGCCTCGTTTTTCTAGCCCCTCCTCCGTTTCACCATATCTACCAGAGGCTCTGACATGCAGCTATACTTCACAGGGGCCCCAAGTGGGATTCCAACTCTGTCCAGGCGAAGCCATGACTGAAGCTACCACTCTTTGAACGGCCATGTTCACCCGCACTCCCTGCTACTAGGTTCTCGTGAGATCCAATGTGACGTTTATTCAAAGCTGATGTTTTTACCCATCAATCTATGTTACGCGCGTTTTCCGCTTTTTATAATTTTACTGGCGTGTAGCAGGCGAAAGCTAGTTGGAAATATCTTGAATGAAGCTAAACAGTGGAAGCATTAATATGGAATTCCAGATATACCGTGAAGATGGATGCTTAGAAATAGAATTAATTTAGATTGCACAGTTGCTCCGCCTTAGCATGCTGATTCTCGTGCTCGTTCCTCCTCATTCTATTCTGGTGCCAATGACTTCAAAGTGCAACACGAGGAGGAAGTTGCGCGAGAGTGCGACAGAGCAATTTTGTTCTTGCGTTTTACTCTCGGATCGTTGACGCCGAAATGAAAGAAAGGTGCTTTGAGCTTAGGTCATAGTTTCCATGTACGGAAGTCTAACCGGCACACAAGCCGCGTTCAGCAGACGACTTGGCCGCATCTGCTGTGCTTGGACCGAGTTGAAGTCCCGCGTAGTGGGCCTTCGAGAGGAGCAGATCTTTTCTCAACTGTGTATAGGCCAACGGAGAGGGGATGGCTGCTCGGGCAGCACCGTGGTTCTACTTTGTCGGCTCACCCTGTTAGACTGGTTGTGAAGAATTGTACACTTGTTTATGTTTGCAGAGAGTTGGGGCAGCTACTTGCATCGTAGTCGTCTTAGAGAGTGTTCATAGGCTAATATATGCATAAATATTATATTGAGGATATGTCTGCAGGCATATGCGATGCATATACTTATACTTGTTTTACCTGTCTCTCGCTCAAAAGGTCTCTTGAAGGGGGGAAATTTTGGAAGCACTCTTACCTGTTTGATATTATACCCAGGTACACTGTCGTAGCTCAGACGCTCTGGTTTCCTTTTAACGGTGCATGAGTCTATCGTCGGAAAGCCTCAGTTGTGAGGGGGCATTCGCATTGATTGAGATTGAGTTTTTATTTCTTATTCTTCTTGTACAAAGTGGTCTCTTTGGAAATAAAAATAATAGTTTCGCGACTTCCTCGGAAGCCACGAACCGTCTGCCTCGTCATAATGGTGGGTTCTGTCCTCACTCTCATTTATGGTGCAAAGATTTGTTTTTACGATATCTGTGCGGTGCTTTTAAAGGGGTACTCCATCTTTTTTTCTTCATGGACTATATGCCAAATATTATGTCAAAATAATTCTTTTAGCAAATTTATCGAATTTTTATTTTTGGTTCTCATCCTTTTAATCAAAATGTCTACTGGAAACAACAGAAAAGTGACGCCAGTGGCAGGCAGAGGATCACACTTTGGGCGGTAGAGGTTCCCAACTGTTTCAAGAAGTTTGATGCTGTCAAATGAATGATTTAGAGGTTAGCTCCAGCACTGGCACAGCAGCATGAAACAAATGCACGGCCTACTCAGTTTTCTTGAGTGCCTGCTCAACTTGTTACCCCGCCTGCCAGTGACGTCACGGCACTGAAAACCGCGGCTAGATTTGAAGGTTAGTTTTGGCATTGTCTTTATTTGCCGATTTCACTTAGCTATTCTGAGTTTAGAGATACCAAATAGCATGACAGACATGGTAAATGCCAGGTATTCAAAAAATATAGTTTAGATCAGTGGTCTCAAACTCGTTTGAGTGTGGGGGCCAAATAGCCCGCCCTGGAAAGGACAAGAGCCAACGAGGGGGAAAGGGCAACTGCTGCAACTAAAATAATCGTGAGCCATTCCACTCTGTGAAGGTGGATGACCAGCAAAGCTGTTTAACACACGACGCAGGCGCGACACAGAATTTTGAACAAAGGTACAAACATTTATTGTCTTGATCAATGGTCATCATGACGAAAGGTACGCACACATTTATTGTCTTGATCAGTGGTCATTATTTCGCGTGGACGACTATCGCCGCCCCGACGAGCCGGAGGAAACCAGACGCTTTACGGGACCGCCACCAGGCGGAAAGTATAGACACACGTGACGGGACCATGGAGAATAGAAGGGTAGGAGAGGGTATGACGTCGGCCGCGTAGCCTCAACAAGCCAAGCTCCCTTGACGCCTCACCTCTTTCTCATTTTCCTCCTTACTCTCCTCACTTACCATGCCAACGTGACCACATCACGTGACCGTAGCTAGCCTTTGTCTTACTATAGGGTACTAAAATACACCACAGTCTAGACTTTGATCCGATAATACCTACCGGACGGAGCGCGCGCAAGCCTGCAAGGAGTTCCTCTACAATCAACCATCCATCTCACGTGACATGTCACGCGCACCAATCGCCTGAGAAATCTGCGGTCACGTTGGGCACAAAATCGTTTAAACTTTTTATGACTAGGCTTCACCAATATTGCAACGTGCCCCCTCCTAGTACTTCTAACCAGGGTGTCGAACCGGAACCGAACCGAAAACCGGAACAGAACCATTATTTTTAGCCGAACCGGAACTGAACCGAACCGAAATCTTCGCCGCCATCTTGGAACTAAACCGGAACCGAACCGAAAAAAATATAACGGTAACCGGTTCAAAACGGTTCAAGGTAATATTTTTTTCTTCTTTGCTAGTATCACAAAATTAACATATGGGAATAAACAATTGGCAGCTGTATTTCTATCTGTTGATCGAATCGTCATATACATAATTGCAACGTATGATAAATTGTGGGTTTTCATGGCACCTTTGTTGGCACAATGATTAACCATGTGTCAAGTTGTCACGTGACGTCATGGTGTCAATACATGTTGTCAAGTAATGTCACGTGGCCTCGTGACGTCACGTAACTCACTGCGATAAATCGATTTCATTTGAGAAAGTCGCTAGATGTATTAACATTGTTGACAGCATGACGTAACATGACATCACGATTTCGCACCGAGAGTCACGTGACATCGTGACGTAAGCGATTTTCATAACCCCTAGTCGAGTGCTCGGGTTCATGACAATCAGCATGGCCAAACATTCAGGTAACGGCTCATGTCGAGTAGATATGATAATCAATAGCCCAACACTAACAATATCTGAAGCTCAGCCCAAGCTTTTGCTTTGCAAACCCTTGCAGCATAGGGCATGACTGTGATGAACACTGGCGGTATATAATTAGGGTCAGATCACGTGGCCGCTTGTTCAAATTGCGAGTTGAGGAGATTTCGACAGCTGTCTCTGTCCTTTATTTTTTCTGCATCTGTTATTAGGGGAAAACTAATGGATGTTTCCGCAACCTATCAACTTCACGGGTTATTTCTTAACACTATTTATTGAAAGTACAAAGAGAAATGTTGCAAGACCAATTTTACATTATTGAGGCATTGAAACATTTTTTCGTTGTTGCTGAAGTATATCTGAAAGATGTCCCTGAGAATAGAAGTTTTGAAATGACTAAATGCGACCTATTAAAGGGCAACTCTGCTCAATTCCGAATAATTTAGGCTTCCATGTGATTCAAATTCACAAAGCACTACTAAACAACTCTACGTCTTCGGATTCGCGAAATGTGGAATATTTTTTGTGTAATCCTAATTTAAACATCAGCAGATACCGAAACCGAAACTTCGCTTGCGTCAGGCAACATTGGTCTCGGGTCGTCAGAGTCATGGCACGTCACGTCAAACCACGTGGTCTTGTGACGTTCGGGAGGGAGCGAGAAACAGGACACGCAACGCGAGCAGGTCTTTTCTTTTTTTTGGACGCGGGCAGGTCGCTTCGCATGGCGTGGACGCTGATGGCCCGGGGGAGAGCGGGAAGGGGAGAAGACGAAAGAGGGGAAGGGGACCGGAGAAACAGACCGATAAGCAAGGAGGTTAGAAGTACTAGGAGGGGGCACGTTGCAGTATTGGTGAAGCCTAGTCATAAAAAGTTTAAACGATTCTGTGCCCAGCGTGACCGCAGATCTCTCTCGCGATTGGTGCGTCTCGCATCTCACACGTGACATGTCACATGTCACGTGTGAGATGGATGGTTGATTGTAGAAGGACACCTTGTAGGCTTGCGCGCGCTCCGTCCGGTAGGTTTAATCAGATCGAAGGCTAGACTGTGGTGTATCCTAGTACGCCATAGCAAAACGAAGGCTAGCTACGGTCACGTGATGTGGTCACGTTGGCATGGTAAGTGATGAGGGTAAGGAGGAGGCGAGGCGTCAAGGGAGCATGGCTTGTGGAGGCTACGCGGCCAACGTCATGCCCTCTCCTACCCTTCTATCCTCCTTGCCGATAAGCGCGCAGGGCAGCGCAAGCTAGCGGATCCGTGTTACGGTGATCACGTGAACGCCCGGTCAGCCAACACCGGGAGGAGAAACTCATGACGTCATCGTTCAATTTCGCTCTGAGAAGTAAAAACAAGCAAAACGTGAGAATGACGTAAGCATGCCTCTGACGTAGTGGTTCAACGTTGGCCGCTCCAACTCCGTGGCATTGAATGCGCTGATGATTGCGCCTCGCGCCGCACGCTAGAGTTGGCAGATTTTGGCGACTTGGCTCGCTTGAAGGTTTGCTGGCCAGTTTATTAAATATATAAACGGAATTAGATCGTAATATTTGACATGAGGTCTTTTTATATGATACTGAAGAGGGCTACATAGTTTTCTAAATATCCCAAATAAATCGGAGTTGCCCTTTAATATGACGTTACATAGAACTACACGTGTGTACGGAAGGAATACCTAAAAAAATGATATTTTAGTGACGTGAGAGGAACAGCCGAACGTTGACAGTCGCTGTAAGTCTCGCACGAGCGTCGTTCTCAAGTTATTGCCCAAGTTTCGACCCTTCTCTATTTTGTTTAAATAAGCTATAACATATTTCTATACATTACTAAATACCACTCAGGATCAGTCCCTAACGTAAATAACTGATTGAACTTGGCTTTGCTCTTTTTTCTAGGCAATGGTAGTCGCCGAAAAAATTAGAGTTATAAGAGCATCGTTGATCCCCTCAACTGGGAGCCAGGAGCGGCCACGTGGCCTGGTGCCTATCTCCTGCCGCCCACGTTAATCATACCCCCGCGCTGGAGTTTTAAAGGAAAAAAAAGTGAAAGCTGCTTACAACTCCCTGTAACGCCGAATTAGAGCGCAGCTCTTGAGGAGGAGGAGGGAAGGGCACTGGGGGGGGGGGGGGGTTAAACTAACCAGGGGGCGGTCACGTGACCTTGGGGGGTCACGTGACCTTGGGGGTCACGTGACCCCCAATGCCGATTATGTCATCACTGAGGTCACTGATGACGTCATCATTGACGATGACGATGCGGGTACCGATGACGTCATTAGTGACGTCACTGATGACTTCACCAGTGATGATGACGATGACGATGCGAATTTCGGTGCCGTCATCAGTGACGTCGCTGAGGACGTCATCAGTGATGATGACGATGACGATGCGGATGTCGGTAACGTCATCAGTGATGATGACGATGCGGATGCCGGTGACGTCATCAGTGATGATGACGATGACGATGCGGATGCCGGTGACGTCATCAGTGACGATGACGATGACGATGTGGATGCCGGTGACGACATCAGTGACGTCACTGATGACGTCATCAGTGATGATGACGATGACGATGCGGATGTCGGTAACGTCATCAGTGATAATGACGATGACGATGCGGATGCCGGTGACGTCATCAGTGATGATGACGATGTGGATGCCGGTGACGTCATCAGTGATGATGACGATGACGATGTGGATGCCGGTGACGTCATCAGTGATGATGACGTCATCAGTGATGATGACGATGTGGATGCCGGTAACGTCATCAGTGACGATGACGTCATTGGGGGTCACGCGACATCGGCGGGGGTCACGTGACCTCAGGGGAGTCACGTGACCCCGGTGGGGGGCTCGCGCGGTGCATTATGGGACATTTCCCATGATGCACCGGGGTCACGTGACCTCGGGGGGGGGGTCACGTGCCCCCCCACGAGGTCACGCTACCCCGGTGGGGGGCTCGCGCGGTGCATTATGGGACATTTCCCATGATGCACCGCGCGGTTACGCCGACGCCGACGGCGACGGCGACGGCGACGCCGACGCCGACGGCGACGCCGCTCAAGCCGGAAACGGGCCCCTAAGAGCTGCG